GAAGAGGCATGCATTCCATGACGTCAACCCAGATTCCGAGAACGAACCTGATGACAAGTTGTTGCTAAGATGATGACGGTCGAGAGCAAGGTTGGCCTTGATCAAAGAAAACGTTTGTCTTGTACCATCACCACCACCGTTCATGAGTCGAGAATCGTAGCAACGACTAGGCGGATCGAGTTCCGCAAGGAGGTATGTATCTGGTTTCTCTGATGTCAGTAATCAAGTTGACCCTTATGTTGAACTAGACGAGCAACGACTTAGCACCTAAAGTCCACGCAACATATCAAAAATCAGCGTGTGTGATCACTCTGAAGGCGCTACGCGTTCGAAATGTCATTCAGAAAGAAGAATGAAGGATATGGGGGATATTGTGAAGGTGTGTAGTCCCCAGCCCGTCGTCGCCAACTTGAACTAATAATTCTTATTGAAGGCGCTAATTCGACACAGCATCGTAGTTCTTGACGCTTTTTAAGACTTTGTGGCATTTGTCCCTCGTCATTGGCGAACTTTGTGCCCGTAACATCGAACAACCAGCGACGCTTTTCGCCCTTCGTGCAGCCTTTCTCGGAGCCGGTATTCGACTTGGTACGTTGACTGCGTTTACCACTCACATGTCGTTTGACCCCGTTTTTCTCTAAGGTCTGATTCGGATTGACGCCGTCTGTTTTGCTGCACGGCCGATGTGTGGAGCAAGTGTGGGTCTGATCTACGACACAGTGTCGTAGATCTATCTGCCTTTTCCCCTTTTGGGGAGTGTGACGATCTATACTTATCCTCGCCGCAAAGCGATAGATCCCGAGATAGTCAGGAAGACCTGGGATGGAGTGCCCCACGATGAGCAGGGGCTGCCAGATAACTGGATCTCTGAGTCCTGGGTTTTAGTGGGTATGAGAGGGCGCAACTGATAGCTTCGGCTGCGGCCGCTCTGAGTCCCACACTTCTGAGAAAGCGTGCGTACCCGCATTTCCGCAATCAAACTTTCCGTTGTCAAAGTTGCGAGTGATCGCACTTGCTTCAGTCTACTTCTCGCGACTAAAAGTACCCTAATGGCATTAACTGACTGCGCCTCTTGGCCAAGCTCAAGGGTGTGCTTCTGATGTGCCGTTAATCAGATTTAGGGCGAAGCTTGGCACTCCCACTGCAGGCACGAACTTATTGGTCCCTCAGCCCCCAAAACCTGGTTGGAATTAAGAGTGCCGCAGCACAGTTCTTTCCCTCCCTTCTGTCATATCGATATGCTTCGTCTTTCTCTTCTTTTGCTGCTCGCATCGAGTT